ATTTACCGTCAATACTGGTCTCAACTCTATTATTTCTGCATCAACAACAACACAACCTGCATTGATTTGATTCATCATTGCTATCATCATTATTATCATTATCATCACCACCTTCATTAGTACCACTCATTTCCACTCTATTCCGGTAAATCAATCCGAAGAGAATTCGCTAACTCTATTCACCACTTTATTCCAGCTGAAACTGTATACACATCCACCTTATCCTTTTCAATTTGTACTTATAAAATCATTGAATGACTATCACCAATGATATTTTTGTCTGATATTTACAATCAGGATGAATATGAATTGGAGTACATACATACGCCATACACCAAAAGACATACAATTTCACATTGAATGATTAGTTATCATAAATTAGAAAGACAATGACTATACGAAAAGGACTGGACAAGGAGGTTAAACACACGTTTTTTGATTTCATTTATATATCCTTGATATCCTAATCTTGATTATTTCCCTGAAGAAGCTCGGACCAGACCTCCGTGCGAAACGTTGGAATTATTTGATTTCAAACCCACTGTGACTTACACAAATACAAACTATATCTAATGTCATTCTTAGATAAGGTTTTTAAAAAGGATGGAGAGAGAATGTTGTTTATTCTAGCAATTCTAAGTGTACACTTATACTAAATAAAATGGTCAGGATGTTGTTTAGACATCTGCCATATATTTTATTCATTACATGTATCTAAGAATAGAAGAAAACTGCTAACTCTTGTCTTCTTCCTAAAAATAAATTTCTACAACGTAAGATGTTAATGTCACCTTAGAGAGCTTCAGTAGCGACACTCAAAAAAGAAATGAAGCAGCTTAGTAGAACACAAAGGATCAGTAGTCTGCGGTCAAACGATACCTTAATGATCTATAAACAAATTCTTTTGCTGTGCTGAGCAATTCACCCAAAGTAGCTCCGGCTTATTTTGTAGACTTTTTGGGGATGTCCTTCTTTAATTTTTTGAATACATTCAAAATATTTCTGTGACTAGATAATAAATTGAAAAGAGATTAGTTTTGATAAGCTACAATGAAGATAACGACCAATGAACTGATATGACACGATATCACATGCTTAAACCGACAACTGCAAAATACATGCACAACTTTAACTTGGTCACTTGTTTCTGACCTGCACACAATTTTCTGGATATCGTAACACTTTTCTATGGTTTACGCAAAAAACTTTGATGACCAGTCTAACAACTGCTGGAATAGCCTATTCGGCTTCTTCATTTCCCTTAAAAATTATCGTTCTAGTGTAAATCATGAAACCTAATCGGTCATTCCAGCGGTTGATTAAGTGGTCTTTCGATTCACTGCCTTTCACACCTATGAGTTACACACCAAACTAAGCGTAAGGCAAGATACTTGCAATTCTCTGACTGTCTTTCTCTCACCCGGTCCCCACAGCATAAAAGAAGATCAAGGCCAACTGATCATTGCTTTTATTCATGGGATTTATCTCAGTCACATGTATATGCACACGTGGAAGTGCATTACATATACCTCATCACCATGATTTGTAAAAATGAAACGACTGAATAACATGATAAACTGGGGTTATGTACAGTAATCGATTTCACTTAACATCCCATCATTTTACAACCTTGGATTGTACAGAGATGAGTGAGGAATTAATTCACAGCTCTTGATTTGATCTGCACAACAGTACTACAGGAAAAGTGTTAAGTAAACTGCTTCTGAAAATAAATAAAATAATACACCTGATAATGGTAATTTGAGATTCCTATTTTCATTTATTTGGTCGGTTATAACAGTCGGACCAAGTAGTCCGAGGTAAGTAGCTAAGAGTTAGGTCCTTCATGATAACAAATAAACCGACTTACGTTAGTTACCTTATTTCCACTATTATGACATTATCGAACATAGTAAAGCATAACTTCATCGTTAATGTAGAATGAAAGATACCAGTGTTACACCATGGTAGCAGCTGTGTTAAAATTCCAACGAAAACTGATTTATGTCACCCACTTTACAAGGTAGTTAATCTTGTTGAAGTTTAATAGAAACTTTAAAACCATTTTTGTGAAATCCAGTGTATGTTAAATTTATCTAGTTATTAGGTTGATAGCGACGTTGATGAGAAAATCTTTTGTTGGAGATTTAAAAAGTGGATTGATACTGATACTTAGTCGTGTTGAAAAAATGTAAGTTTTCTGGTATTAGTCTACAATGTAACTAAAATTAATCGTATCACTCGAAAGTGTTTGGATGTACTGAGATGAAGCTAAACTACAACTAAATCCAATTCGCAATACCAGATATCACGGATGCACACTACTGAGGAGTCCCGTGTTGGGACGAAACAGCTATCTAGGGCTCCTAGGCTTTTAATGGTTCTCAAAATAACATCATTCAGGGCTAAATACTTCCTCGAAATCAGTCGGTTCCACAATCCTTAAAACTGAACTATTTTTATTCCTTTTGCGTTTCGGTTTTTATACTACTGCTGCCGCTAGCTTTATTATTATTATTTCAATCTCCACCCTCTTACTGGTGTTCATCTACATGTGCTGCGTGAAGTGTGGCAAGGGGGATCGCCGTCCTATTACGTCACATTTCATCTGATCTCTTGGAGAGTTCAATGGTTCTCTGCTTTCCATAAATAAGAAAGGGTATTTAACTGTTCATATTTTCATCAGGTAGATATAAGTGGGATCTTAGGTCACATATTCGGAAAAAAGGAAGCGTTTGATTTTTTCAAATTCCTACGATAGCTCAATATGAGTAGTATTACCAATAAACAGAAAGCCATTTCAACACTATTACCATAGAAGTGAATTTCCACGAAGTGACAATAAATGTGAAAGCCTTATCAGAGACAAGCTACTGTTTGCCATGGATTGTTTCTCATACATGAAAGCTGCTTTACTGTTGTCTTACAGAATTATTGTCACCCATGTGTAAAAGCCTTCTCTTCATTCATGAACTATTTGTTTACATTTTGCTATACAGATTTGGCAATCATTTAGCAGTAAATGTTTTACTCGTTTTCTTAGCCTAAAATGCTTGTTCAGTATTTGTAATTTATTGTAAGTTATACTCGTTGTAATCTTTCAAGTCATGTATTTAATCGAATGAGCAGTAAATTCAAAAATACTGAATACATAACCACTCAAATAGGTGGTTGCTAATACTCCCTTTGTTTTTCGTTGCATAACTGACTCAGTTCATAAAGAATTCAGTTTTAAATAGAGAATATATTTTCCAGGTGTGGCAAATATCAAGTCATATCACTGAATAGTCATAAAATTTATCGCTACCTATAAGTTAATAAGCAAGATAATTAATTAAATAGGGCCAATCATTGGTTCAAGGTTATCAGAGCATTCGAGCATCCCTAAGTTTACAGTAGTGGATCTTAAGGACATCTAGGCTTCTGCTGTATGTGGGAAGGCATGTGATGAAATAGTGGCTTGAATAAATTTAATTCTCATAAACCATCTAGAATAAGTAGATAGATTACTTAACCTTCACGTATCGGCTCAACACTAAACAGATGCAGCAGGAATTATTCAATATATATTCTGGAAATCTCCAAAGTTACACTACTACGAAGAATGAAAGTCATCTTTACTTAACCTTTCTAATGAACTGGCGTCGAAACCGCTGTCATTTAAACAATAAACTGCTTGAGCTACGAAATCCATTGCACCAGTCAAACGAGTCATCTTAGAAAACTCTTGTGCATACATTGTCCACGAGTGAAAAGTTGCAATCCATCATCAGTTGCGTAGATAACTGCAAGCATCTTTTATCTTTAGGAAATATAGATGTAGAAAGAAGTACCAGACAGAAGAAACTCATAATTCAGCAAAAAACTTCTAGAAAATTGATGCTCAGATCAAAAGACGATTACCAGATGTGTTGAAACAGACTGATACGGAAAAAATAGTTTCAGAGAAGGTTCAACAATCAGATGACAAAATCCCCTTCATATAATGAGAGCCATGACTCGTCCATTAGCCAGTAGACCAACAAGACAGACAAGTTCGCTTTAAGGCTGTTGGGACTCCAAGTCATGCAGTTTACAGAAAATTCACCAGGTTTACTTGCTGGTCAAGCTTATTTTGAAGAAGCTCCGTGAACGGAGAAAGAAATACCAGATGTCAAACCATCTCGTTCAGAAAACATAAAGGCGTTAGAATCATTAAAGTGGACCCCAGATATAGAGTATATTCTCCCTATGGCTAAAGCCAAAGATTGTAAAGGATTAGGTTATAAGAATAATCTTCGGAGGGTGTACGAAAACCTACGTGCGTCATTTAAGTAGGGATTATTATGATGCCATGTAATATCTAGTAAAATTTTATTGTTATGTATCATGCTAATCCGGAAGCAAATTTACTCACATGTCTGTTACTTTCTTTAAAGAATTTATTCTGTCCTCATCTCACCTAACCGCCTTACCTTTCCGTAATGACTTAATTGGCTAGCCTTCAGCAGTGTGATTTCGGATCAATTTTTATCTTCATAAAACCTTTTTTTCAAGTAATCACATTTTATCTTACTTGGCCTCGATAAGGAACGAACAGAAATAGCTCAAAACAACTGCACCGTAACATGAACTGTAGTTGAGTTTGGGCACACGATGTCTTGGTTCTGTGATAGGCAGGTAAACTACTAGCTCTGAATATATTCTCTCGAGTGTACAAATCAGTTACTGGATAAGATTGAAAGATCACTTCTAGTCCCAGTTCTGGACCGTTTCTATTGTCAAAGGCTGAAATTTGAAAACCGAATTGCCTGATATCTGGATACTGTATTCAGTGCTAAAGCTTGGCAGTCATTTGACAGAAACCTGTATTATGCACTGTAACAATATTCCATGTTTTATCCACTTGTCAATAGGCTATTATTTTTTATTAGAAAGCTGAAAAATTACTTTCTCCTATGCCATAAAAAGCTTTTTAAAAATATTTTTTACCTACTTGCAAATTATCTCGTTATTTCTAGGTTACTTGGCTTAAAAATGGAGTCCCACTAGCCAGATCAAATTCGTATGCAGTTAAAGAGAATGGGCAGTATCACAGTCTTAGCTTTTATGATGTTTTCATTGAAGATCAAGGCGAATATACATGTTTTGCTGAAAATCCTTATGGCAGTGCGTTTAGTTCATGCAGAATGGATGTTGAACGTAAGTTAATTACGCCTACAGTAAATTTAACTTTTTAAATCTACCAACATGAATTTGTTTTGCACAAGCAATCTGTTTATTTCTCTAACCATTGAAATCAAGTAAATGCCTCTGATGTTGTATTTCATACTGTTAGCCTTCACATCATCATGTTAGGATATTCAGTCTAGTAATTTCAAACTCTGCCCAGTTTACAGTAAGACGCAAACCACCGTATAACTGAAATCACTCTGCGTTTACCGATACACGTAACCTACCTAACGTGAAACGGTACAACTGGATAAACAAAAATTTGAAGCTGCATTCGCATTTGATCAGTTTTTCGATATTCTGTAATTTGCTGCAACACACGGTAGTAGCAAATGCTTGTAGTTAAGGGTTCAAGTGTTGAGACTGAGTTCAGTCCCTGAATTAAGTTTTTGACAGCATGTCGGACTTCGGTCATGCTGCAAAACTGAACTGATGCTTAGGACGATACTGGAACATCTACTGAATCAAACTTTAATCGGAATGACACAGCAGTGTAAGTGTCAATCTAAATAACTTTCGCAAAGACATCTAACTATAAAATTAATGGTTAAAATCCCACTTTCTGATTTATAATAATTATGACTGATAACATGTGCATCATTGTGGTCCTTTATTTAACAGAATCACTTCCTGAGAACTATAATGTTTACTTTGTATTTTTAAAAACAGATTGTTATGAGCTGCGACCCCCCCCCCTAGAAAAAAACACTTCAGCAATGTAATACAAGTTCAAAAGATATTAAGAATCATACACTATTGTCTAAATGTTTCAAACATCTAAAGCTTCCTTAACTACTTATGAGCAAAGAACGGAGATAACAAGGTTATTGAAAAATCAGATTGCCCACTGAGTCACCTTGTATGCCTTCAGCATTACTAAAGTAACTTGATTCGATTTCAATGCATGATTCAGGTGTACACTGTTTAAAGGTGGCTAAAGATAATATGATAAGGCTGTCCAGAATTTCAGATTTCTAATTATTGTTGCAGTCAAACTGGATTACGGTAAAAAGTATAACCGAAATTACTATTATCTTTCAGTGTGCTATGCTAAAACTGAATGTCTTTACTGATCGACCAAGACGTGTTTTAGATCCTGAATACTTCATGATGTTGTCCTGTAAACCTAGACCTTTTATAGTGTAGAATAATCAATATAGTGCTGATCACATCATAGTATTGATCTGACTTTTCAACTGGCTTCGTGTCCACTTTCATATTATCGTAGAATATATTTGAAGTTCAATCCTTCATGCCAATAAGATCAAAATTTCCGTGAAGTTAATCCTGCTGCTCACTTGCACCTGTCCAATGCTTCAAAATTCTGTTAGTTTGAAACATTTTCTATAAAAATAAAAGCAACAATAATTGTATGCAATAAAAGTCAAATGGATTAGCCTCAGAAGTCCATTATAACTTTGCTTAAAGTTTTTTGACAAGTGGTAACTGCACTATATACACAAATAAAAGTATTCAGAAAACAACATTTAACTCTGGCTACCATGCAAAGAAGGGAAAATTTATTCGACTTACAATGAAAATCGAAATGAAAATTCCAAAAAGGCTGGTTAGCAGCTAAATCAGTTGAACTAATATCTACAAAATGTGGTGAAAATAACAGTTTTCTACTTTAGTAAACCTTCAGTACAAAATTAAAAAAACATGTTCCTGAATAGTAGTCAGCTTTAAAGTGTGGAGCAGAGAAAAACATTTTGAAAGCTAAAACAGGATAACAAAAATGTTAATCGTCTGAAAATTATTAGGCAGTAGATGAGAATCCAACAAATAGGCAAACTGGTAGAGATTTGGGACTGGCATAAATGGTACATGCAAGAAAACCAAAGTCGTGTTATGCTTTTTCAAAGACATCATAACTGATAATATCTCAATATCAAATTAGCAGTCAGTAAACACTTGTGAGCTGGAAAAGGTACTTTAGGTTTGAGTACATCATTGGATTGAGCAATTTATATTACTAAACAGGATTCTAATACGTTAATAATTCTTTATATTGATGTACCCAGGCATCAAATTTTACAACAAACTTCTCAGCTCATTTATTTTCTTTTGCTTTTTGGGTTGCTTTCTCTACTACACACTCACATATATGTTCATTTTAGCAATCCACACCGAAGAACAACCTGTTGATCGTCCACCAACTATTGTGAAACCTTTACCAACACGGTTATCTGCTGTAGAAGGTAGTTCAGTTGAACTAACATGTCAGTTTACTGGACGACCAGCACCATCTGTAGTTTGGCTTAAAGATGGTAAACAGCCTCAATCTTCACCTAGTTTTCAGGTAAGATTATAGATCATTACATTTACCACTTTCTTCTTTTCATTTGAATAAACTAAAATTGGAAACACACAACTGTTAACTGACTAGTATTCAGTTTAGTGAGCAATTCTTTTTTTCTCCCTTATGTCAATATTATGTTCACACTTCCGATGTAATACTTCATTTGGAAATTCTGACTACTGAGCAAAGCAGATTTTAAAAGATCGGTACAATCCATAATATTAGTTCACATACACAGCTCAAGAAAAAGCAGAGCATGACAGATGAATGGAAGAAAAAGTATGTAATTAAAATAGGGGATATTACAAAAGAAGGATGCGTGATATAAAATGAGAGACTATTTTCTTTTGTTCACACTAAGTTCATATGCCTAGTCACAGAAATGGTCCATGATATTCATTCATCTATTATTTGCAGTTATTGTTCAGTGTACGATGTGACTTCATTTATACTAGTGCTACACAGTCTCACAGAAACAACTCGATCTTGACTCTATTCGATGAGTTGGATAGCTCAGTTCCTAAAACAGAGAACCTGGTGGCTAGATAAACTCAATAAAACTTTTCCAGGCCCAAATCACTCATTGAAATGTAACCATCAGAGAATTCAGTATCTATGTACTGATTACTGATAGAATTCTATAAAATGTTTGTTTTTGTAATAAAAAATCCAAACAATTATAGTTTTATGGTTGTTATCAAAGCAGATTCACTAAAATATCTGCATTTTTGGTCTGCTATATCCTCTCTTGCTGCTATGTTCTACAAAATTTATACTTCTCGACCTCACTAAGCCCAGTTCACTTTAATAGTCAACGAATAATTGGTACTCAAATTAATTGTATTAAGTGCAGACAGATAATTGTCTCGATTGACTGACCTTGACCGATAATGTATAAATCAATCGAAATAAGGGTTTACTGAATCTATTGGCCTAATACAGTCAATAGGTATGGAAGGTGTAGCCAGAACTACTAAGATTTAAATATTTCCGTTTTCATACGCCCAACTAACTACTCATCAATATTGATAAAAGATACTAGAATCTTTCAGCCATAACGTCTTCGACTGTAGATCTGAGTTTGTTGGGCGAGAATCTCTGAGACAATGGTGTTTGGCTTCAAGTTACAGATATAATTTTCTAATGAGTACTTACAACTGAGAAGCTTAACTCATATAAGGGTGAATTCAGATTGCTTGCAACTTTCCAACACCTGTTGTATATTAATTGACTGGCTGAATCATAAAATCAATATTTGTGGCAAAGATGAATTAGAATCATTGTGCCAGTTACGCTTCTTTACCGTTAAACTAAGTTCATTATCTGTCTTTAAGCTATATTATACAGAAGATGGAAAGTGATGTCTGAGCCACTGATATGTAACTCCATTTATCAATGAGGTACATCAGAACAACCATTACAATGCGTCTGTACACCGTTTCACCTCTTACAGTTTTCGTAAAGTCGTGTGGCGTCATGATTTCCGGTAACTTATATCAGGTAACATGGGCGAATCAGGATGAAAAGTATTGAACTGACTGAACCCAACTTGTTTGAACACATTTAATTCAATCAGATAAGTACAGTCACTGAATTTGGATGAAATAACCAACAAATCCAGTCAAACTGATGTTCATTTCACTTCGCATTCAAGTTTGCATTGCACATTCACGTTTTTTTAATTTTTAGACATTTCAAGATTCTGGTTTCGCTCGTCTTTACATTCCAAAAGTTGAAAAAGACAAAGCTGGCACATACGAAGCTATAGCAACAAATCCATTAGGAAGCTGTTGTACAACTTTATATATGGAAATACTTCCAACCATCAAAACAACGGTTGACTTGCTACCGCCAATTTCACCGGTGATAAGTGGAAGTTCACCAGAATTTACACGGATATTCAAGTAAGTACTACATTAAATCTGTGAGGAGAATAACTGTTTAGTCCTGAGATTTAACTTTTCTAAGTGCTCAGTGCAAGTGTGTAGTAACTGAAATGCTTTATTTTCTTACTTTCAAAAACAAACATTTTTTAGAGATGTTTATATTGAGTCAGAACGATTAGAAGAGGTGGTATTGGAGTGTTCAGTAACGGGTATTCCAACACCAACAGTATATTGGACACATAATGGCGTCATTATTACTCCTGATGATCAACGTTATACCGTTGGTCAAGGACCTGGACCGAATGATCATTGTTTAATAATTCGACGACCAGGACCCGAGTCAGCAGGTATGTTGATTTGCATGTTTCATGAATATAAAATATTTTAAAAAAATAGACATAATTATGCGATGAATTGAGATATGAAGTAAATAATTATGAAATGTTAAGGAAAATCAAGCAGCTATTATTACTTGTATGAAGAATAAAATTTACTAAAATTTTATATCACGTTATGCACGTTCGCTAACGGGATTAATCATCCTTTGTTGGCGTCATGGTATCTATGATCAGATGTCTTGGTACTGCCATAATTTCTATTCTTGAGTTATTGATTTATTTGTGGCTAGCAGTCCAAACGTGAACATTCGGCTCATTCTATTTGAGTTAAATGTTCACCTATAAAACGGTGATCCCACTGAAACTCGAAAGAATCACCCATCACTTCAAATATCACAGTATTGTCAACTAGGCTACCTTATATAGATATTTGTTACCATTTTATTTTTAACTTTCTCACTGTCCACTTCGGTGAGCGTTTTCCAGTCACTCTATTGTTTCAGTGATTTCCCGCACATGCCGGGTCAAAACAGGATGGTAAAGCTAAGCTTCATAGTGAAATTAAACTTTGAGTCCCAACAAGTGTAGAAGTTTAAGATGATTGATCTACCTATACAATGAAGTAAAAACCAGTGTTGATAGTGAAAATCCCGATGAGAGCTAAAATTATTTATAAATACAAGTCGCATGTGAAATCCTCCAACTTTTGACAGTGATTTCCTAATATTTACTAACTTCGATTTAGTCAACTACTAGTTGTGGTTACCTTTAGGCTGTGTTGAACAACAGGCTACAAAGCATTCCTCAATGTAGGTGATATCCAGGATAAATCAAAACAGTGAACACAATCAAAGTTTCAAAGCAAATTTTTACCGCACTGTAACTGATTGAAAGTTATTTTAAAACAAATAGAAACATACATGTTTCGCCATCTCTTGGAAAGTACGCTAAATTTTTACTTTAATATTGAAATAAAATGACCTATGTGAAGCCATATTTTTCAACTAAAACCACAGTTTTCCAACATACTTGTAAATAAACTATGAGTGTTTATAAATCTGCAGCTGGAGTGCGTTATCGTAGCTTACGCATGTGCTGAAAGTAGACGAAGAATTGGGCTAGCTGTTGATATTCGACCACCGATGCCTTCGAGGTACTTTTCATCCCTTGTGCGGAGAGTCATATAAATATGATACCAGTAGATGTGGTAGTTTAAATTACGCAGGAAATCTGTGAACTTAAGAGGATATAGTAGGAACAAATATCGTGTATTTTAAACCACTGATGTTGTGGACATTCCAGGTTTACTGAGTTAGCTCAAAACTTATACGGGAAAAGCGAAAATGAAAAAATTGGAAATTTCTTTGACATGGATGAAAATTAAACATAAATTGCGTTGCAGATAAATATAAAAACCATTACCAAACTTCATGTTCCAGCAAGTAAAACAGTTAGCAGGGTGAAATCTCCCGGTGGGATATCTTGAGAGGATCTGCATTTCCCATGTCTCGTGGTATAAAAAATAATACTTCAGAAAACTACTACACCCCTTCAGTGCCAGAAATCTTTTTCTTTTAAAATCATACTACTTACTGCGTGTAAGTAGTATTAAGGCTTGTAGTTTTGTCATGTGACATGGGGCATAATGAACGAACAAGAAATCTTCTAAATACCGTATTCTATGAACAACAGAAGTGAATTAGAGGAGCCTAACATTTTTTCTTCACGATCTGCATGGTAATATGAAAAATGGTAAAAGAAGGTGTTTGCCACTGGTAATATGCTTTTGATTTAAAGACCTATGCACATTCTCCATGATAAGGAATGTCAGTGGTGCACATGTTAGTACAAACGTGAAACTTGACTAAAATACAACTATTTTTTCAGAAGGACGGCCTAATTTTCACTATGTACGCTCTGTTGTTTGATATGAAATGAAAATCTTTTTTCCTTTTCTTGAACTGACATACTCGTCACCTCAGTTTTGATTTTAAGGCTTAGAATATCGTGTATGTAGAGCAAGAAGGAATGTATGTAGCTAACTAATCTGTTTTTCCTCTTGCGAATAACCAATAATTAGATTATTGTTATATTGCCGATAATTTCCATTTGGTACCTAAATCCATTCAAAAACGTTTTTCTGTTATTCTCGACTTTGTGAGTTTTACACATTAAAATGTTTACACTTAATTTGTTATTAGGTCGTTATCAAGCTGTTGCTGAGAATTTGCATGGAAGGGTAACATGTTCAGCACTGATTAGCCCTACAAGCTACAGTCAAACGCTAATAAAAAGACCGCCTTCTATGATGAGTTTAACAAGGCACACAGTTGTACGGCAACAGTGGCCACGTGAAACATCCCTACCACCTTCACCAGCAAGTACTGGTCGAATAATTTCTCCACATTCATTTGCAACAGTTCAAGTACCTGTGTCACCAGTCCGATTTCAGCGAGAAACATCAGCACCACCATCACAACACTATTTGACAAGACATCATTTACACTTAGGACCAAGACAAGGAACACCACCAGTTCAACTTACTTTCCCTTTGCCAAGTAAACAGAAATCATTAAGTCGGACAGAGGTAAGAAACTATTTCAAGAAATTCTGAATTGTTGACGTAGGTATTGGAAATATTTTTGACTGTCAAACGGATCTTCGTGTAAAAGTTTGATGGCTGAGGTTGTTAAGATCCTGGTTTTGCAACAGCGTCTGAACCAGCAGCTTATGGTACGGGGGAGTATACACTCGTGTAAACCCTACCAAAATTACGCATGGGAAAAAAGTTTTGACTGAAGTGAAAGCTGAAATATGATGGTACAACTAATCAGTAATCAAGAGGACAATATTTTGGATTTTCCGAGATTCGGATTCTCTATCAACTTAGATTATCATAAACGAAAAGTAGACTTAGAATACTCTGATAGAGTGTAATTCCACACTCAGAATGTTTATTTGATACAGCATACAGCAATAAAGTATGACTTACTGCGTGAAGCTGTAGTTTATATAGCTCTGTTAGCTTCCATTCTTCGGTTTGAATGGTAATACTATTTTTTAAATACTGCGGTTAGCAATTAATCATTCATACTGCTTTTGTCTAGTACTGATTCACTGAACAGAGATTTAGTGAACACTCCATCTCTCCAACTTATTTCACTAGTTTTTAGGACGGTTGCTTTTTACCGTTTGATTACATTAGTGTAAGCAAAGCGATGCCTGAGTTCTGATATAAGTTACTTATCTTGGCTTTTCTCCAAGTATAGTTATCATCCTTAACCATTTGAAATTATGAGTGAGACAGATGTATATAAACTGACAGTTCTAAAAACAGTTTTCACTACAGATTAATATCAATCCAAGACCCTGACATCATTAGCTGGTAATGAGTAGTTCTTGTCTACATAAACAATGCTAAAGCACTAAAACTCACTGCAACACTCCTATCCGCAGAAAAATTTAAAACAAGTATTTTACGGCTATCTTCCTGTCATAAAGGATCAAGGAATTAAAAGCTGACCAAGATTTTCTTATTCATGGCAGTTATTGTATTCAGTTTACAAGACAATTTATTCAGAAGCTATTTTACAATTTTATATCGTAAACATTTTCCCTAGCTTTCTTCCAGTCCTACTATTGTTGTTTCATGCTGCATTACTTAAATTGGGGGCCGGTTAACTGTAAACCATAACCCATATCTTTGCAATTTAGATCCCTTTGCTGCATACCTGTAATTTAATGAGTGATGGGCGTGTTATTCAGTTGTATAAACACATATCAGTACAGAAGTTGAATACAGTGCTAGTGAAACGGCTGTGAACATCTCGTCTGGCCTCCAAATTAGTCGCTGACTAAAAAGCCTTCAGGAAATCCTGGTCAAATGAGCCCATATTTAGACAGAAAGGCAATGTAAATTTACTTGACTCCAAAGGTCCTACTGGCAATCGCTGAAGTAACCAGTCAGATTTTACTACTGCAGCTGAAAAGGTGGTTGTCTATAGGATAGAGAAAATTAGTTGGTTGTCTCTGCAGTTGCTAGGATGGCCTTTAAAGTCATAGTAACCCTTAAAGTCTTCCTTTGAAATCATCCTTCGGATTTTGAGATGGATTAATGTAGTGTACAAAGCAAAACTATCACTACTGTATACTATGCACATTAAAGATGCAACAGCAGTTAGGAAATCCGAAATCCCACCCTTCATGTAAGTATACGTGTGCAGGCGAATCTTGTAAGTTCTAGACCAAGAAAACACCAAGAGTGCTATAACGTTCCTACAGTCTTCTCAATCTAGGTAGTTGTTAATCAAGGAAAATATCGTAGAAACTCAATCCACTAGGTACTAAAGGAAAATGTGACACAGTTACATGATCAGAGTTAACAACAAAGGTCATCCGGATATTTGATGAACATAATGATAGTAAAGTATCTCAAGGGAATCAGTCACATAGGGCTATTAAAACAAACTAACCCATTGAAGGAGGGAAAATTCGAAAAGTGACCAAGTGTTAATTCATTTATCTGATACAGCTTTGACTGGTAGATGGTTTTCTTCATAAACGGAAGGTGAATCGACTTGAAAAACCTATTTCATAGCGCTATACAAAACAGATGTTGGCAAGTTACCACCCCACTGAAACACCGAATGAAGAACAAGATCCGTCGCTTGACTAAGTGTGCTGTATTATGCCTAATTTTGTGCAGAACCAGTTTTATAACTCAAAAAGGCTTTTTGAAATTTTATCATCATAAAGATTTTTCACCAGCAGCAAACACCACCCTTTTATGTAACTCTTCCTTCATTTGGAGCCTAAAAGTTATAATTTCTGCATATCTTATACTTGATCAAATGCTTAGGCGATATTTGTCCTCTTTTGTAACAAAAGCATTATTCATTGACAAAAATGCACAACAAAGTAGTTTACTCCTCTAAAATTAAGCATATTACTTGTTTGTCTATCATTTACAAACCTTCTCCTTCCAGATTACAAAACCTGTTGAAAATCATTTGAAACCACAAGGACAGGTGAAACACTATAGTAGTACACAACACTTAAATAGGAAGCAATTTACACCAGTCGTACCACACATTGAAACACGTTATTCGCGTCGTGTTGCAAGTCAGCCACGTCTTTCACCAGGTTATTCATCAGAAGAAGAACATGAGCATAGTATGTCAATCGTCCCTATGGTAAGACATTATAAGACACGAATGGAAAGGAATATGGTGGCTCGGCCACATGTTATCTCCGGTTATAGTTCGGTAAAAGAACACAGGCGTTCACTACATGTTGTGCCGATGAGACGTGAATATCAAACATGCTTGGAGCATAGTTTGCCATCTCGTCCGACAATCCAGACTTGCTTTGCAACTGAAGAAGCACGTGAATATGAAATGAATGTCGTACCGATTGTACCGCACACGGATTATAAAACGGAACTAAAAACAGACGTTTATAGTAAGCCAGAATTAACATCAGGATATGCTACAGAAACGAAACATATTCGATCCTTGGAAGTTACACCAATGGTGCCAGAATATCACACCAAAATGGAAAGACAGGTTACTAGTCATCCAATACTTGAAGCTGGTTATTCATCTGAAGAAGAGCACGAGCATAAACTGAACGTTGTGCCTGTGGTGCCATACACTTCATATAAGACTGAATTGAATGCTGACGTCTCATCAAAACCAGAGTTAGTACCAGGATATTCTGCTGAAACTAAACATCCTGTAAAGCTTGAAGTTACACCCTTAGTTCCAGAATACCGAACTGAATTGGATACAAGTGTTGCCAGTCATCCACATCTCGAAGAAGCTTATACATCAGAAGGTGAGCATGAACATCAAATGGAACTTGTACCTTTAGTACCGGAATACAAGACGCAGCTGACAACAGATTTGGGGGCTAAAACAGAGGTAATTAGTGGATTTGAAAGTCGACTGCACTTTGAACGGACATACCTGATGGAAACTCAGTTAAAGCAGGTAAGATATTAAATTGTCAGTAAGGTTAAAGCCAAAGCTTTTTTCCTTGTACAATTAATTCGCTTAATTAAAACTGGTTGTATATTTTATGCAGCTGAAGGTAACTGACAGCAACTGTTCTTCACTCACTGAATAACTGAATTTAACTAAAAATTAAAGCAAACTATATTCCATGTTTCACGTTTAGTCAGTTAAACGAACATGGTAGAGAAGACTTACAGCTCATAATGAGGATGGTAAGTCTCTGATGTTCTTCGAGCCTTGAGGTTTGTTCTTGGATGTTTCATAAAAAAGTTTTAATGAAGTATACGTATTGACTGCAATCTCTGACTACGGTCGATGTATCTTGCTCCACAAGAGCAGTTGAACTGGTAGATACGGTTAGATTCATACCTAAAACACATACCAACTTGTCTTAACAACAGCCTGTCTTGGTGTGAGCTATTAGCCTGAAATAGAAGAAAACAGAATCCGTCAGGGCACTGAGATAAGGAATGAAACAATATTCTTCAGCTAATGACCAAGCTTTGTAGCTCAGAATGAGGATTGCAATGAGTATTTTTCCCTGAAGTTATGTAGTAAATTAAAGTTTTCGGAGCTTTTCATGAAAGTAAAATACACCGTTCATTAAAGCTGAAATAAATCCATCAAAAACCAATTTCACTGAAGCACCTAGTTTTAGTGTTTCTTTCTCAGGAACAAGTAAGTCTAATAAATTAAAATACTATTTACCACAGTTAAGCAATTTTTAAAACTTATGCTGCCCTTTTCATTTATTTTCAAGTATGAAACCTCTATTTCAACTCGAATACCGAGCCGACCATCATTAACGTCAATATTCGAGTCAACATTTGAACATGAAACAAATAAGATGAATGTCGTGCCAGTTGTTCCACAAGATGAACGTCACAGAAGTCAGCTACTTACAGATTTCTATGCTCAAGTGAGTTTAAATAATGGACTAAATATCTCATTTCTATGTGCAGTGAATTACTGATTTCTACCGTATTATTTGAACAAATGGTGTCTAGGTACTAAGTTTCTTAACAATAAAATGAACTAAGTAGTAACTAATAATCGTCGTATCCCTATCCAAAACTGAATGAGCAGCATGAAGTGACTTGGAAGACCATTCTAACAACTAAACCCTTCATAATCAACATATCTTCAAATTTCCCTGGCATAAAACTACTACAGATGATATTCTTGAAAACTGACTGAAATGATAAGTTGATTTTCCTCATTTCTCAAGAAACAGTTTTTTTTTTACAAAAATACCTCGTATAAATACTTTAGTTATGTTGGATGGCGTTTGATTCACCTCCATTCTGTTTTGATCGTATAAAGAAATTTTAGTCTGAGCTTGATAGACTGTTGATCTCTGAAAAGCTCTGTTTTAGGGTTTGGTTAACAACTAATAGAATTGTCAAAAGTTTGGTCTTTTGGAAGCAAAATCTCAGTGTAAAAATTAGGGTTATGTAAATTTATTCAGCTTCAAATATAAAGTGGTTGTTTATGAGTCACTGTTTTCAGCGTGTCTACAAATGATGTTGATTCTTTGTGAAAAGTAGCTATTTTTACTCTATTCCCTACAAACGACTTGTGAATAATATTTCAGTGCTTACTGGTGACTAGCAGTAAGACACATGGCGAAATTCTAGCTAGAATCTCAAGTCTGTGGTGACAGCCAACTCAGAAGTTAGAAGGAGTTCTCATGTATGAGACTAAATGACGGCTGTGCATCATTGCAGAAGTGGACCATTAGATTTTATCTCAGTGGTTGTCATTAGAGTTTTCCAATCTCACTCATTTCGTGATTCTTGAAGGTATGTACTGATAAGCTTCATTTCAGAATACGGTAGCTGATAACCTGGTGCCTTTTGGATCACAGGTGGTTTATTTCTTAGAAATGATATCGATGTGTGACAACTCTTTTCACAACTAAAGTGTCATTTGAAATCATCGGTTTGCTGATGAGTCAAAGATATCTTTTGATTCGAAATCGAAATGCACCCAAAAACCTGGTACACATTCGTGGAGTAGGCAATCAGCCATACTTGTTGTTCGAGGCTTAGGAATGCTGCATGGCTACCCAAACCTCGGTAGGTGAAATGGAGTCCAAAACAGTGACTTAATGATTGGAAGTTATCTTTCTAAACCAATGAGTCACGGCTCTACAACTTTTGATTTATGCCACAGTGATGAGTTTTCATATACCCTCATCTGAAATTATAACCTCTTAAATCATCAAATCTGAAGTTATAATAAATGCTTCCTGATGGCATTTCTCTGCGGTGGACACTAAGCTTCACGTACTTTTTTCGATCACTAAATTCAGGCTCAGTTACCAAACTATAAAACAGGCTATATAAGATCTCGACATATTTTAAGTGCTATCTTGGCTAAGATCATCAATAAAAGTGTCTAAAAAGTGCAAGAATAAGATAACAATCATCCCCAAACTCGTCAGCCGACAAAACCATAGTAAAAACAACCACCTATTTTCTCATAGGTACACAGCTTACTAAAATAAATTATGCTACCCATTACCAAAGTGAAATTTGATACTCAGTAGTTGTGAAGCATGAATAACCTGTGATGGCAAGAACCAACAATGCCATAAGCAAGACCCAAAGTATATCAAAAAGATATTAGAACACAAGTATCTTAACTACAAAAATTAAAAGCTAATGAGTTTAAGTCAGCACCTGATAGTTATTTTTATGTTTTAACTCTTTAAATAATTGTGAACTTTAATTTTTCCTGCAATTCTTTTTTTTTACAGTATCGTCCAGTTGATGTGATTGTGGAAGTGCCGATTCCACCAGAATTTGTCAAGCCTTTGTCTAGTGTAGTAACTGATGAGGGAGCATGTGTTGTAATAGAGGGTCTTGTAAGCGGTGTTCCGCAACCCAAAATATCATGGTATCGCTCTGGACGTCAGTTATGTGATGGTCCTGATTTCCGACTAGATTATAGTGATAATCGTGTACGATTAACACTTGGTGAAGTAAGTAATATTTTTTAATGAAATAATGGATGATCGCTCCAAAGCTTTTCCTTAAACAGTTCATTCCTTTTTTGCTTACCTTCCCTGAGCAAGTCAAGTCTAAACCTTTGTGAGAATACGAGTTTTCTAATGGCTGCAGGTATACCTCGTTGATGAGTGCCAAAAGTTATAGCATTAACGCCCAAGAATTCCTGCTGACCGCTTCCAAACACACAAGATTTTAATCGATATGTTGACTCGATTAACAATTAATGAGGTATATGAAGTAAATTGACTAACGGTTCATGATTGACAGTTACATGTTACCATGACCTCACTTGTTTAAAGAACATTGGTTTCATATAAAAAAATCGAATACATTTTCCGGCTCAGATAACTTACTGGGTCAACTGTGTCTATTTTGACAGTATGGAGTTTTCTCCCAGGAATTCAGTTCATTTTAGAGAAAGAGGGAGGAGATACTTTACGCTTATTGCAGTCGAGTGTCAACTACTTTCATAAGTATTTTCCACCTATACATAATTTTTATGCAACATTGATAGAATGAAAGTTTACGTATACTATTCAAGATGATACTAATTTCATGAATAAATGGAATTAGGAGTAAAACGTCACGCTTATTTGTGCAATCATGTCAACTAAAATTTGCAAAGCCAACGTGAACTGAAATACTTAGAGTCATCTGAGTAGGACCAGTAATCTTCCGAATGTCAACCTTACCTTCCACTCCATTAAGTATGAGGCTGAGATGGAAATGAAATTCTGATTGGTAAGTGTAACTGAGATAGTTAAACTCCTTCCTGAAATTTAACTTATTTGTTACAGATATATTCCATAGTTTACATTTTGAAAATACTCCACTCTTTCATTGATACTGCCTACAACAGGATATATTCTCCTATTTTTTTGCAAACCCAGGCATTCCCTGATGATGCTGGTGAATACACGTGTGAGGCTGAAAATGTTGCAGGTCGTGCACAAAGTACAGCGAATCTAGTAGTACGAGCTCGTCTGTTAGCACCAAAATTCATCAAGGGACTCGCGAACCAAATTCTTTATGAAGGCGAATCGGTCCGACTAGTTGTCAAGGTTGACGGTCACCCGCCACCAACAGTCACATGGTAAGAGGAATCCTAACAATCTTTTATAGATAAATTTCCACACTTTTTAAATAAGAAGCTTTCTAGATCAGAATGACTTTAAACGCCACTCTAGCAACAACTTAAATGACCAATCAGGCTTTGGTGTTTAGCCTTGGAAAGTATTTTTCCATAGAACAAAGGAATGTAATTGGTTGTCTCATCACTTGCTAGGGTGGCCTTTAAAGTCACCCCTAGATCAACACATTTTTCATTTTACAATTGTGGCCTCGTTATTAAGGTACCTGTTTTCACCAGTTAAGTAGGGAAACTGAACTTAAATTGTATCCTGCATTCTGAACATAACAGTATTTCAGTCATCCAACCATAAAAAGGCTTCAATCTTAATTCATGGGAATTCAATAAGTTATGGATTTGAATTTATCAAACTGCCTAATTTACTTGGTTTAAGAAACTGTTTCAGCCTAGAAAAGGCTCTTTTAAGTCATTTTCCACAATGTATCTGCTTCTTCTTGGCAAATTCAAAAAAGTTTACCGATCTATGATGAACATACTACTTCATATATGCAGATAAGTCAAAAACTAACCTCAGTCTGTATCCGATGTAGTGGCTAGTTTGTTTCAGTGGTACTAGGAAGTCTTATGGTTGACTCCTGACTTGCTTGACTCGTGAAGTAGTACTAAAAACGTTTATATGTTAACACACGAGGATGAATAAACAGCATTTGAAATTTAACTAATAATATATGAGCAAAATTTTAAGGAAAATGAAGATATATCTAATCAGTAAATTACAGTTTAGAATTCAGTATTTTATCATTTCAACCCCCAAGGTCTTTCTAGGTAGCACTAGAAAGATTCTAATGTATAACATAACTAAGCGGGATCAGAAAGCAGTAAAACTTCACTAACTAGAACAGATTAGTGAATAAATAATTTAAACTTGCTTGACAATTCATGTCAATAGCAATTAAAAGTTGTCGATTTGAATTGAAGTATGCTATGTAGGTCGTAAAATTTGCACTTTCTAATTAAATCTCACTGGATCTAAGTCAGTCATGTACTTTGGGATAATCGCAATATCATTCTCTAGTTTCTAGGATCAAATAGCTTAGGTTTAGTAAGTTCAGTGAACTTGTATTTTCCTACAGTGTTATTGCGTTTTGGCAGAGTTCTCTGCTCCTGGTAAATGCCTTAACTAACGATCCATAACTAAGTTCACTTGGAATCAACAATCAGCTTGAAAGAAGCATGAGTTGTTATTGTGCTTATTACAGTTAATTATTAAAAAGGATAAATGATCTGATTTTAACTAAAGGAAATGGAAGTACTATGCACGTTTATTTGATTATTGAGTTCTAATATTGAATAAAGCCTACAGTTATGAATTATATAGCTCTGACAACTTCACTGAGTGGAGAAAATCAGTAAGTAAGGGTACCGAAAAAAAGCTTGGACTCACATATAAGGTTTCTTCAGAAAACTTGATCTCAGACGACAACAACAAAGCTGACAAAGCATTTTACTTGTCTTGCACTTTTATTGAACTTTTTATTTTAGGACTCGTGATGGTCATGAAATTACAAGTTCGGTTAACTATACACTAGAAAAAGAAGGTGACGGTGTTTATGCACTCACTATACCTGAGGCATTTTTTGAAAATTCTGGTCGTTATGCTGTAGTAGCTGAGAATCCAGCTGGGAAATGCATTTCTTCAGGTCTGATAACCATATTAGGTATGTAACTTTTTTTCTCCTACTTAGTCTTACGAAGATGGAAGTTTTGTGAAAATCTTTGAAGAAGCGTTACGCTTGCGGCACTAAACACCATACAAATTAGTATCAGCGAGAGACAACTAAGTAGAATGACCCCTCTATTTCGTATGCATTTGTTCAAACGGTATATTTTAGTGTTATGGTGTTCTGCGTACCACATTTCTTGATGGGAGAGGTTTTACTCTGGAAACCATCTTTAGGACAGTATTTATATTGAATACTCTAACTTCACACACAGACTAGTCCCTGGATGACACTTGCTGAATATGTCAAGCCCTTACTATTAGTCAATTTTGCAGTTTGATTAATAAACTTACCGACATGGCCATACTGTGACCTGTTAGACGTTAAGAGCCATAAAAATCGGTCTCAGAATTAGGTTTCGTTTACATATTCACTGACTTGTTAGATGTAACTGCAACAATAAGGAACTTCATTTTCTGTCGGAGATTGAAACCTACCTGCATGTCCAAACAAAATTTTTCTACATTGTCTTTGCTTCTGCGGAAATTTTTTTTAACGCTGTTTTTCAACTCTAAAATGTAACGTTAGACATGCAACCGTACGTTTCAGAAAAGACTGAGTTGAAAAAGGGTTAAAAACCTTCCGTTTGATTTCAGAAACAATCTGTATTTTCAGTACATTTATTACCCCTGCGCGGTCGAACGCTATATACAACATAGTTTGAAATTCTATAACTTGTTACTTGACAACAGTCAGTATGTTAGACTGCATCAAATTAGTGTGATAAATCACTAGATAAAAAAAGTGAATGTGGATATTTTTTGATACAGACATGTGATTGTCAAAGACTAGTCAATCACTCATTTTAAAGTCTGTTATTTGATCAATATTTTGTTTGCACTTTTAAACATTTGTAGAACCAGAAAGACCATATCCAAGTGCATTAGATAAGTTATGTCAGAGTCAGTTGACAGTGCAAGTAGAAGGTCTGAGGCAAGTCCGATTACCGTCACCAACACCCCGGCCTCATCCAGAGAAGCCTTATTTCACAAAGGTTAGTGAAATGTAGATTGTTTTTTCTTATATATGTTCACTAAATATCGTTAATTGTAATAAGTTTCTAACGACTTTTCAGATAGACTCTTCACGATACCCCCTCCCTGTACAGATCAATGTCGGTACCGGATTCTGCACAGAATCAATTTTCAGTACAAATTCCTTGCCCGACTAATAAAACTGCTGCATACTCAATCCAATAAGCTAACTGGACTGGTTCTTTTCACAGCGTAAAATAACTTTAAGGAACTATTATTCCAGTCAATGTAGACTAATATGGGTCAATAAAGTAGGTAGGAGCTAGTTGATGGGACTAGTGTCAATTTCTCACAGCAACATAAACACCTCCACATATGGTCTGCAATTTTCAGATTCAAAAGTTATAAGAAAATCAAGTGTGCTGTAATACAAACCATTTCACAGCCTGATTTATTGGCTTGCTGGAAAAGAGATAAACTCGCCCGGTTGTACAGAAGTTTTATCTCGACTTAAGTCTTCTGAACAAGATTATTACGCAAATTTTAGTCAGTCATTCCCAACTACTTCCAAGTTTAACTTGGTTTGGACTTGGAATCGAAGATATTCATGAACAGCTAATGTAATATAGGATTGACAGCAAATACCACTCGTTCATTTGGGTACAAAGTGAAGTGAAAAGGTGACCTAAATTTGCATCTGGATGTCATTGTTATGTAGATAGTATACCACAATTCAAGTTCGAGCGTTATTCATCACAACAGAGGCGATATATAATTCATGATGAGAGTAAGAATGGCTTTTTGTTCCCCATATTGATATCCATTAAAAGTAACAAAGCAGAACTTTAGCAAAGTGTTGACGGTATTAGGTAAATTGTTTAGTGACTAAATATGATGAATGCATTATTATCGCTTGAAATCTTTTCTTACCAGACTTTCAGTCCAGAAATTGAATTATATGAAGGTGAACGTTTAGCGTTGACCGCTGAAGCTTGGGTAACCCGATCCCGTTCATCAAGTGGTACTTCAATGGACAACCTTTAGTTGATGGTCCTGATCGTCAACAGACTCAAGTTGGACCACCTTTGTCTGATGTGAATGAATTACAACCAAATTCAGTACCAATGACTGCTCACTTACTGATGAATGAAGTGTTCCTAGAAGATTCTGGCCTGTACACTTGTGTAGCTGAAAATATAGCAGGTCAGGCAGAAATCATGTCGAATATAAGTGTTGTTGCAAAACGTAAGTCTTAGAAATTAATAATTTTGCGCATGAGTTAAATGACTTGAGTGCGCTAACTGCAATGTATTTTTTATAACCCCTTTCGACACTTTTATGACCATGCTGTCACTTGTTATATTGTTGTAGCGACTACTTGATACAGCAGGAGTTATGTATACGCAGACGCTTGAACAATAACTTTCAGATTCCACCCTTGACGATCACTCAGTTTCTACGTAAATAGAAAAGGTGGTAAAATAACAGAAGGTGTATTGTAACGTCGACAATGTATACAAAATATAGTGGTTTAAGTATATTTACACTGGCCTTGGGTATTTCAAGGTCTTTCTAGATATAAGTGTCCTATTGATTTTCATCCCTCCAACCAGTCTGATATTTATGTGTTGGTTCACGTGCTTTCTCTCGAAACTTAAGAGTGAGGAGATTGGTTGTAAAAGGCTTTAGGGATATATGGCTTCCTGTCAAGACTTTATCAATCTTTCTGCACACTGTAACAGCATCTCCTTCTAATATCTAATAAGTCTTATTCAATTCTTTTTATAAAAGTATGAATTTCTCCTAGACTTCAGGTACACCTAACCGATGAAGAAAAATAAGAACTTTAATCAGACTAACAACACCCTTCAACCTGATCTTACCTATCCAATCTGTTTACAAGCATAGGTATCTTCGTAGAATAGCCCGTGTATGGGGATATCACTGTGTGACCAATGTTAAGGTTAGGTGAAAAGTACTAGTCAGTGAAGGCAAGTCAGTCGATGAAGTTGTGGACCTTCAGTGACTGAGGTGACTTGAACATGTATTGTACATGCTCAGCCACCACCTACGTCGATGTTCAAATCTAGCTAAAGTAAGATTGAGTTCGAAGAAAGCTCAAGGTAATCAGACCAGGATGTGGCACCAGTTCCTGAAGTCTCTGACAGTCAGTTTTAAGTCGCATAGGGAGAGAGTTGTAGGCTACCTAGATGGGGTCCCCGAAATGACACAGATAAATTGGTGGGGACCATCGGTGATATAGCAGAAGATCAGCCATAAGAGCTCAGATGTATTTACTTTTTGGCATCTTCTAAAGCTTGGACATTTTCATAAACCTTCATTTTCAAATTCTTTCTCACTCGATGCACCTTTATCTTGCTTGATATCACTATTTCTCTATCTACCTATTGTTTGCATGCTGCTCTGAAGTGTCGCAACTTGAACCAATACACTTTTAGCTGATGTCCCACGTTGACTTTATCTCTTTGTCTGTAATGATATGACCAGTTGTAAACTAATGCGAAAGGGAGGAAATCTTAGCGTATATATCCCTGTCATTCACCTGAAAACCTTTAAAAGTGTTACCACACAATGATTCAAAAAAACTCGGGATGCTAGAAAGATAGCTGCTGATAACGATGACCGCCATCCTCCATTTATCACCACATGAATTCAGAAGTAACAAATGGAAAGGCTGTTGGTGAGATTCTGAATCTGGTGATGAATTTACACTGATGACAAGCTAACTCATAAACGAAAATAGCTGTTCAGAGTTCAGCGCTTTTTAATGGCTTTCTGGTTGACGTCAGTTGATTTTAAAATCTATCTCCAGAATTCATAAATATTACTTCCAGAGAGATTTAGCATGATAGAAATTTCACTGTTCAGAAAGCAAAAACAAGATTTTGCTGAACGTTTCGTTGTGTACGTCCCAGCTTCTTCAGCAGAAGCATTTCGTACTTTTATCACTTTAGGGAGTTCTGAATCTCGTCTTTAGAAAATGCGAATAGGAAGTAACTATAAGCAAAAAGCAATTTATTTGCAAAGGGGATTTATACAGAGTAATTTTAACGCCACCCTAGCAATTTCTAAAATAACCAATCAGATCTGAGAATTTTCCTCTGGGAAGTGAATTCCTCACAGAACAGAGAGACATCATTGGTTATCTCAGCAGTTGTTAGGGTGCCCTTTAAAGTCACTCATTAATGCAACCTATCTAAACCGAACATAATGTCCTCATTTGTGATTGTTATCTGTGACATATTTTAATCAGAAGACATTCGTGTCTACTTTTACTACTTTTCTTATCAGTGGCATTTCCAATCACTGCCCGATAAATACTCACTTTTGACAAAGAGAATGCCTTCAAATTTATTAGAAATTCTGAATTCACGGAGCTGAGTAACTAATTGGCTAATAATTTATAAGACATTCCAGCTTTACATGCGTGTAAGTGCAGTAACGACCATAGAACTTGGTGTAAAAATCACTTCAAACACTTGTAGAATCTAATGAGTTGTTTGCAAAAATTGAATAATAGTCAATTAGAATGTAGTGCGTAGTGTGTTGGATAGAGGTTGTAACAACTTGCCGAAGCTTATAAGTGCATATACGATCAAAAGCTGACAAAAGAAGCGGATATGACGATGCATGAAAATTAGGACATGTTGATTTATTCTATCCAGAGCATTTCTGATTTATGGTCAAAATTTGTTTCAAGCAAATTAAAATCACGTATCATACTTCGATAAAACAATAATGAAGACGTAAATTGTGTGAACCGTTTAATGTATTTGCGCAACACATTTCGAACTACCTGATCAGGCAGGTACTTGTCATAGGTATTTTATATGAAAATTCACGAAGATGAGGGGTGAGAAAATGAAAAGAAGTCAAGTAGGAAGGCTGAACAACAATGAAAACCAGTAGAGTGAAAATAATAGTACATCGAACTTGGTTTTCATAGTTGAACTTACCAAGGTAGACTTCATATGGCAACAAACTGTTTATGAACACACAAAGGAGGTTCGAACTTCCTAATAGCTAAGGCCTCAACAAGTTTGAGGATCCGTCCTCAATACTTTTTGTAAATAGGTGTAAAGGAAGTAGCCACATCAATCTTGTGACCTGTCCCAAAGATATGTTTCGCTATCGAAGAACTTGGATTTCTGTTACCAACGTTCATGGATTCAGGTGATTTAATTTGCTTCTGAAGCCACTTTGTAATATGTTCCGAGGTCCTTACTTGCATGGATCTATGAATCATCCCTATGTATGCATTATCACATATACTTTTGAATTGGTAGATGCAATGCTATGTGACATTGTCGTTCACATGCTGTAGGGTTTGAAAGAATATACGGGATTGGTGGTTTCTATTAACCGAACCCTGGCTGCATAGTAAGTCTTTCTAAAAGCAGCGTTAAGTCTCTGCTTAAGGACTGAACAATAAAAACAGTTCGATGTACTTTTATTTTTGCTCTATTGACTTTCATTGTTATTCGGTCTTTAATTCACCCTTCCTACTAATTGTTTAAAAAATCATACTGTTAAGTTTACTTTTCAGAAAGTTGAAAAACACTCATTGTAATTCTTTTCAGGAAAACTAATTTACATGATGTAATGCGAAGACGGAGATTATCCCAGATATTGTCTAGAAAGACAATGAAAGCCCCATGATTAAATCACTCAGCTCAGAGAACATAATTCAACTAAGATCATCCACCCGAGCTACAGATATTCTCCAAAATATTATTTTGGAAATTTTATGTATCAAAGATATCTCGAAAGCAAAATATCAGGAACTACTTATTAGTTACACTGGATATTCCAGTTTAGTTCTTTCATCATTTGCATCGCACAGTGAAACAGTAGTAGTAGTACTGATATGATTATGAGTAATAAATTGTACTCTAAAGGTCATCCTATATGTAATACTGTTACACAGTATGATGCACCTAACCAAGTAAAATTGAATCACACTTTACCACAGTATCAAAATTCCGCTTATATAGGTTAAACATTATTAATACCTGATAAGACCATCTTCATTTTGTACATGAAATTCCATCGTCTGGCTACTGACAGGCACTAGAAGTAATGTAAATCATATTTGTAACCGGTAACCTTTTACTGAAGTGCTCATCGCTCATCATCCCAAATTTCTTTTAAATCAAGCTATTCGAGAAGTCGCAAAGCCGTCAATCCAACCACCAGAATTTATCAAATTCCCAGAATCACCAGTAAAAGTACAGTCTGGTCAAGATGTCACACTTGAGGTTGAAGTTAAAGGCCTACCTCTGACTTCATTAAATTGGTATCATAACAATATGATTGTGTATAATAATAAGGATATTTTCATTGAAAATGTACTCACTACTGGAAAGACAAGATTGTTTATTAAATGTGTTCAACCAAAAGATCAGGGAGAGTGGTTAGTAACAGCTACAAATCCATCTGGTTCATGTTCTAAATGTCTTCGAATTATTTGTGAAGAGACCATGTAAGTTTGCATTAGTGTTTGGAAAATTCATTTGTCTATATATTTTCCAACATGTATTCTAATGAACAACTTAAGTAACTGGATATCAACAACATCAGCTGACAGGTTTGATTATCTCTACCACTATCTTCATTCTTGATCGCCTAACTTATTGTCACTGCATCAAGTGAGACTGGACGACATTCAGACAGTCAGGTTGTTCAGAAAGCTTAAATATATTTATTTAACTTTCTGTTCAACTATACTGATGATCAGACGCCTGGCAGCAGAAGCGGACGTCTGACCAGTGGTTAGACCAGATCAGAGATGAAATTAATACCTCAAACGTAAGAGCATTATGGTTCAGTCATTTTGTTAATAAGTATAACAGATAAGAAAGTGAAGATTGATATAGTTACAATGTGAAAACACATCACTTCTCCGTTCAGTAACTGAAAGATTTAGGCTATATTAACAAAATTTGTGAGGAAAGTGACATGTAACTTCATAGGCTACATATAAAGTTGCCATACTATTTCCTGCCAGTAATTACCGAACATTATCAACCATGTTTAAAGTGTGGTAACTAATATCAGTTAACTGACATAAAACTGCTTTGTAATAGCTATAGATGATAGAAATAGGTGAACTTGAGTCGAGTAGTTCCAGTTGCTTGCAGCCAGCTATTAGTCAGAAATAAATAACTAATGTTGACAAGAAAAGAATTACAAATTTTGCAGAATCGGTGAATTCATGACATTTTGTCACCTTCTTCCCGACTGCACACAGATATTTACAGAGAAATGAGAGTGACAGGAAAATAGTTCTTTGATGAAAGATTAGAAAAGAATTGACACAGTTTAGGGAAGTCCAAATTAAGGAAACTTGTGAGACTACAGTCAAAATTATTCAATGATTATTTATTATTAAAATTAGCCCATTAGGTTCCTAATGGAACATAGGGCTTCACTAGCATGTCTCCATCCCACTCTCTTCTCTGAAATCTTTTCAACCTGGCTCCACGACGACACATAACCTCTCATTTCCTCCTCCCACGATCTCCTCCATGTCACCCTCACCACGGACGTCAAACTCGTCACTTCCCATCGAGGTTCCACTCGACGGCTTGGCCTGACGCTTGGTGTCCCCAGCCGGCCTTCTCAGTCTATGCCCAATCCAATCCATATCCACTTCTTCTCACACTGCATATTTGTTCAGCGATAGCTTCTTGCTTGGTTCGTTGCCAGTCAGCCAGAGTTTCTTGTTGCTTATTCTTATCATTCTGGCCATCTGATTGATCTTCAGTGTCAGTAGCGAGTCAGCGTAGGCAGTTGTTGATGAATGTTTGTAGTTTGTTGGAAATGCCTTTGGTAACCGGCCAAGTCTCTCAACCATACAGGAGCACTGACTTCACTGAAGTTGGTGTTGAAAATCGGCATCTTGTTCCATATGCCGAGTGGAGTGCAGAACATCTCCACACTGACTTCAGGCTAATGAACACCTGTCTTGCTTTCCCGATCCTGGCTGGCTTTGACATCCTCGTCTGTGCCTGTGCCACCTGTAGTTGAGACAGTGCTGCCTAGATAGGTGAAAGAGGCCACTTCCTTCAAGTTCCTCCCGTTGATGGTGATTGGAGTTTGTTGTTGTTGTTGTTGTTGGAGTTGTTGGTGCGGTATCTTCATCACCTCTGTCTTCTCTATATCCACTTGAAGTCCCGTCTTCACCTCACCTCACCTCACCTGTTCTGCCAACTTGTTACTTTTCGCCTGTCGATCTTCCAGTTTGTGTGACATCAGATACAAGTCATTGGCGAAATCCAGATCTTCTAGGTTCTTTTCCGCAGTCCAGCCAGCGTATCCCCCTCTTCCCTCTCCTCACTGTTTGCTGCATGATCCAGTCGACCACAATCAGGAATATCATTGGTGATAGTGGGGGGGGGGCCTTGTTTTACTCCTGTCTTCACTTCAAAAGTATCGCTGAGCTTCGCATTGTGAATTACTTGGCATGTGGCGGCTGTAGGTGGTATTTCTGGACGAGTTGCAGTTGATGGTGGTGGTGGTCGATTCAAGAGCTTCTTGAAGTGGTCGGCCCACCGATTCCTCAGGTTCTCTTCTTTCGTAATTAAATTTCCTTCTTCATCTTTTATTGGTTTCATCTGCGTTGATCTCTTCCATACCAGATAGTAACCTGGTTATTTGATACAATGTTGTCAGGTCTGTGTCTCTCCTACCTGCAGCCTGTCCTACTTCACTTGCCAGTGTTTCGTAGAAGTGTCTTTTGTCTTTGCGTGCACTCTTCTTCACTTCTTTGTCTAGTGTAGTGTTTTGTACATTGTACTCAGGTCGCCTTTCTGTTGTGCATCCATACACTGGTTTATCTTCTACTTCACCATCCTCCTCTCCCTCCTCTATCAGCTTCCATGTGTCCGTCGAGATACATTCCACTCATTATCTTCTTTCCTTTTCCTTCCTAATACGGTTGTGCAGGTTTCTTTCCACACCTCTTTCAAAGACTTCCAGTGTTCCTCCACACAGCTTTCTTCAGGGATGTTCCTCGATATCTCCCATTTTGTCTTGATGGCTGGCTGTCGTGAAGATTTCCTTTGTAGTTTCGTCCTTCAGTTTCTGTTCCGAGTGTTGTACTTGAACTGTGGTCGTCTATCACCAGCTTCCTTGAAGGCTTTCAACTTGATTTTGAAGGTAGGTTCCTTGCACTAGACAGTGAGTGGTGTGAACCTACATCTGCTCCTCTTCTTCACCTTGTGTCAAGTAGGCTGACTGTGTCTCCACTTCCTTCAGATTGAGATGAAGTCGATTTGATTTTTAGTGTGTAGTGGTGTCTGGCGAAATCCATGTCGCTGCTTTGTGGATATCCTTGTGCTTGAACACACTGCCTCACCTCCAATCACTAAATCGTTGAATGCAAGGAATTCTGCAAACAGTTTTCCGTTCTCATTTATTTCACCGAGTGCTTCTCGACCCATGTTTTGTTTTCTTCTTGTGTTGTCCCCTCCCAATTTGGCATTCATGTCGCCACACCCATTAGAATTCTGATGTAGCCAACAGAGGTCTTGTCCAGTGTTGATTGAAGTTGTCTGTAGAATTCCTCCTTTTTCTCTTACTCTGCATTATTTGTAGGTGCATAGCATGGTATTGTATGATTGTGACCTTCCTTCCTTCCTTTTGAGTTGAATCTTGCTGTCATGATCCCGATGCTGGAGGAGATTGGTTCCCACTGCATGAGAGAGAGCCTTCGATGCTGTTAGGGGACATCATGATAGCCACTCGAAAACTCAGTGTGCTGTGCTCGTGGTTGTCGTCTGGGTGACAATATTGGAGTAGAATTCTGATTCTCCAGTTGACAGTTTGGAGAGTCCACTCTCATTCCATCTGCTTTCGCAGATCCCAAGCACTTCCATACCATACCTCCTCATCTCTTTTGCAATTTGGGCAGCCTTGTCAGCCAGTTTCAAACACTGTGCAGACATTCCATGTCCACACGTTTACTTTCGCTTTCATCGAGAGAAGACACACCGGCTAATTGGCCTCCCGAAGGCTTTCACCAACTGACGTCATTTCGCCTCTCCGATTCCAGAGAGGAATAATTTTGTTATTATTTTTTATATTTTGTTAGTGCTTTGAAGTTTGTTTAGCGGTTAGATTTGTTTTACGGGGTAGGGTTGCTAGCCGTATGCCCAACCTTCCCTCTTTATGTGGGCTTAGGACTGGCTAGTAACTAGTGAACTAGTTAACCAGGCGAGGTTATTCAATGATTATGTTGTCAATTTGTCATTCCGCTGCATGTGACAAATTAAAGACTGGAGTTGGTGCAAATTAGTAAGAAGTATTCGATATTCATATAGTCAGGTTCTTATTTTGGTACATTCAAAAAATCAAAAATGGAATGGAGATTATCACGGAAGTATATATGATAAGTTAATTATGGAAATGCTAGATTAAGAAACTGAACATGTGTCCAGATTGAATCGGTTTGGGTCAGATTGTAAAATTGTGGAGATTAAGTAGGAATTGATTGTTAAATCGATTGTAATGGCTGGATGAACATACGAGAAAGTAAAAATAATTTAGAACAGTGTACACTGAACAAAAAGCAACATCAGTGACTACCATCGAAGTTGGCGGCTAACAACTGCTTCTTTTTTATTCACATGTTTCTTTTAATTCTTCTGTCAGCAAAAGATTAATTAGCATTGTTTTCTTTGTTAGTTATTTAAAATACTCTGGAGATTTGGACGTCTTGAATGTAACCATCTGAATTTCAGCGCTTGGACTCACAAAATAGATTTGCTTCTTCATACTAAAATTACTTGGAATCATTTTTGTAAATCTGGTCTGAACCGTTTTCCTTGTCATTCCAATATACGTGCTCTGGTGTTTACACGTGAATTGGTCGTTCCAATCTGAAGTGTAATTAAATGGAAACTTGTTGCTTTCAAATGGTGTAGTGATTATTTAGTCTTGTATACGGAGGCTAATTTATCTGCTGGAGAAGTGATGTTTTAGGGCTATTTTTACTCCTCCGTTAATCGTGT